ATTCAAATATTAAATTTTAAGAAAATTGGATGTTTATTTCTCTTTATATGGGCAAAAATTGCATCAAAAAAGTCTAGTTCCCAAGGCCTGATATATCCCAAAAGTTGATCAATCCGTGACATAGCCAAAACAAACTCACATATAAAATTTCACGAAATTCGGTTCAGCCGAACTTGAGATACCCGCGTACAGACAGACATGCAGGTAGGCAGATCGACTGACCGACAGGTTGCCAAAATAGTTTACTTACAATTCCCTACTATGAAGATGTGCGTTCCCACGGAAAACTTGATATGCAGAATTCATATCACATAACCACCCTTATTGTATGCAATGCGGTAAAAATACATGTGTGAGTAGAATCTTTAATTCGAAATATAATAAAGTTTGGTCAAACCAATAGTTTGTATTGTAGCACTTTTCCGTTCAACAAGTGAAAATACTGCTTTTAAATATAGTCTATGTATACCTACTACACTATTAAAATTATTTTCATTCATAAGCAAGATTATTTCTAGGATTGCAAATATTTCGGATGAACGATTTATGCATATAGCATAAATTTTTGCTTTGAAATAAAGCAAAAATAAATGTAAAGATAGCTTAACATAATGCTCGATTTTAATGGTTAATTGCGTGAGTTAAGAAAATTAATTATATTTTTTAATATCATGGATTTTAGCGTTAGCTTTTTGCGTTAATTTCGGAATTCAAATTTTACAAATTTTAAGAGGAGATAACTTGAGGATGTGGAGTTAGAAAAAAATTTTCTTTTAACGAAATGAGCTATTTGTTAGTCCCTAAATGCTAGCAAAATTTTAGGCTCAAAACCTGAGGTCTAGAAAAGGAACAACATCAAAAATTTGAAAAAGAAAAAAACGGATTTTAGATAACGGTAAATTTGAAGGGCCATTTTGTTTTTTTAAAGTTTAACCATAATATGCCGCGATAGGAGAAGCAAGCCACTGCCTTCTGGTTTCACTGCAACAAATAGTTAAAACATTAAGTCGATACAATTTTTTTTCGAAACCAAAAATTTTCAATTGGGATTTTAGTGAAAAAATACTATTTGCAACACCCCAGGAACGACTTCTTATAAAGTTGTCCCATCTGTTACCCTGCAGAAGGGTCAACTTAACTTGTATTTTAAGTAGTTTGTTTCGAAAAAACATATTTTTGTTTTATTTTAATTTGATCTTCAATTTTCGCTGGTAGGCACAATATTTCTAAAATTTTTGGATACATTTGATAGTGAAATGAAGGGTAAGGTAATTTGAAAATACTCATTTTTGTTTGTTCTGAATGTACTTTGTTATTTTTTCAATGTATCTAAAATTTTCACTCTCAAGTTTCTACCTGATTAATATATCCGTTAGGAGAATTTCATGAGATTCAAAAAGGGTTTACAAGGTTGATAAGTACAGAGCCAAAATGAATTTACAAAGTATAAATGTAAACGCTAACAACCGTAAAAACTAGAGGGTTTTCAGAAATTTGAATTTTAAAATTTCATAACTCACTTCATAAAAATGAAAGTGTCACCAAGCATTTTCTGTTCGCTTGAAGGTTTTCTATTACTTTGCTTCAGAAGTTCCATTGAGACTAGGATGCCTTGTATACTCAGCTATTATATTATGTTTAAAACCTGTTGAGTTGTTAAGATTGTCCCTATTCAAAAGTTTTACCTACTCATCAGGGTATATACAATGACATATTCCAGTACAATTGAAAGCTGACCACTCTGTATAGTTAACTATTTCTCAAGTACAAGCATTGCAAAAGGATGTACAAGAACATGATTGATTTATTGATTAAATTTTATTTTAAATTATTATAACTTTCTGCTTTTCAGTAGCAGTAACGAACTTTTGTTCCTTTTATCTCTTTTGTTATCTTACGGATTTAGGTTATTTAAAGCATTTTTGTTTTAAAAATATATATCACAAAAACAGGTTAATTTTTAATTTAAAAACGAGAAAAAATAGAGTTGACCTTGTGATACCCGTACCAATTTGTTATCCTATGTGCGAATAAATATGCCATAACTGACTATGGGATAGACTAAGACTTTATGTTGCCATATTACCATATTAATTTATGCAAAATTTCAGTCCTGTGTTTTTCAAAATACTGTGTTTGCCAAACTACTGTTGAAGTTGTATGGCAGCTACCAGAAAAAGCCAAGCAATTTTAACGAATTTAATCAAAACATCGGCCCTACTAATATATTCTCTTATGTGAAATATCAACAATACAGCTTTTATAGTTTCTGAGAGATAAATAAAAAAATTTTGAAGTTGTACGGCAGCTACCAGACGGAGCCCAGCAATTTCAACGACTTTTATCAAACATATTGGCCCTACTAATACATTCACTTGTGAGAAATTTTTAATATTATAGCTTTTATAGTTTCTGAGATATAGCCAAATAACTTTTGAAGTTGTATAGGAGGTACCAGAAAGAGCCAAGTAATTTCAATGACTCTTATCAGACACATTAGTCCTACTAATATAGTCGTTTGTGTGAAATTTCAATACCATAGCTTGTATGGTTTCTGAGATATAGCCAAATAAATTTTGAAGTTGTATGGCAGCTACCCGAACCGGTACCCCTCAGAATTCGATGCTGATCAAAAACATACACCTGAGTCTATATCTGAGACCTTTATTTCTCAGCGTTACTAAAAATGTTAGGATGTATCTGCTTTAAGAAGTTCTTTTTTATATTCAAAATAAAATATAAATACTACACCAAAAATAAGGACCATAAAATGAGTAAAATAAAAACGAGATCAGGCAAAATTGACCTTTCAACGTTGTTACATTCGTGAAACAATGACTTTAGGAGTTCTATTATAATACATATAACCTGTTATTTTTGAATAGTGCCGCTGTGATTTAATGATGTCTGAGCATTTATTTTTACAAAATTTCACCTCATATCCTTCGCTTATTTTGACTTATTACCTTCATTATTTTTGTAAAATTTCACCTCACATAAGTGGTTTATAAAATTTTTGGCAAAAAATTTGGTATAAAAATAGAGATTAGAACATCAGATCTTATGTAACTTGAAAATGTTGACTTTGCATATAAAATATTTTTCAAACTCTTTGACAGTCGCTAAAAGAAAATTTTTTTCTGAGTTAGCGAGGAAGGCCATTTTTACAGTTCATAGCTCGGGAAATAAGGCGGAAAACGTAGTCTTCCCTATTAATTCCCACACGCTGCATATGGTGCATTTCTTGGACAAAGCAAAGTTTTTCTTTAGAAATTTTCTTTTCTCACTAATAAAGTAAAATTCTCATTTAAAAATGGGTTTATGCGAAAAGGTTGCATTATAATAAATTGCGTAAGATTCTAAATATGTTAGTATTCTAACTTTATCCCGTTTTGAGATTATATTTCTACGTTGAATCGAAGAGATTTTATAATTGGAAGATATATGACATTATTTTCCTGTAATAAAATTTGTGCACATAAATTCATATTTTCTTCTTTGAACGGTGTAGAAGTTCTCTAAACATTGAGACAGACAGTATGAAACTAATAGAAACATTTTTAGTTAAAAACGTATTTAAATAAGTCAAAATCCAATATACACAAAGAAAATTTCTTTCATTTGCAAAGGAATCGAGATATTCAATGTTTTGCAATTAAATTTTTTTGAATATTTAAATTGTTTTACAAATCTCTTTAAAAACAAATGTAATTAAATGAAAATGATTAAAAGAATAAACATAAAAAAATCAACAATATAGAATCTACCATAGAAATTCTATGATAGATTATAAAGTATTTCTTAAATTTTATTATTTTTGTTATTGTTCAAATATTTTAATATCAATTTTATTTTAAATATATTATTTTTTGGGGTTATCTTCATCAAATACAAGAAATATCTTATGGATATTCAATGCAGGTAATTCCGAATTTTGCTCTAAAAAAACATTATTCAAACAACGTTTTGACATTCCTATTTGGTCTGCGTATTTTCTATCTTTATTTTAAATTATCTCACAGATTATGCTATATCTTTTAAAGAATAGAAAAACATATTATATCCAAAAATTCCTTTTTGTTTTTTTTTTTTGTTTTTTATTTCAAATATTCCACCTTCAAATGGAAGGTCACTAAAATACAATACCCTATGCAACCATATTTAAGTTGTCCTTAAGTTAACTTTATTAAATAACTTTTCAATTAAACGTTTTGAAATCTTTTCGATTTCTTTACCAAGAAATCTATCCCTTTTAAACACTCCCATAAAAGTTGCACAGCTTAGTGATACATTTAATGATTTGCTACATGACTTCTGAAAACACTTCGATATTCTGTTGCTTAAACTACCTTTTAGCAGGAGTGAACCGGGTTCAGTGTGTATCAATTTAAAAATAATAAATGAACCCAATCTCTTGTTTTCCGTATCTCTTTCCCGTTTTTCGCCACTAGAAAAAATGTGTGTCGCTGCTTCATTTCTCCTATAAAGTTTACGCAAACTTTGAACTTGAAAACTTGGTAATGCGATAAAATAAAAACCCGAATAATACACGATGAAATATGAATGCACTTTTCTGCTTCCAATGAATAATCCAAAAGCACTTCCAAAAAATTTTGTTGAAGAATTATTAAATTTCTTTTCCGAAATTAATGCTGGTATCCTTAAATTACTTCAAAATGTGTAAATTAATCATTATGAAGCAAATTGCTAAAAATTCCAATTAACATTGAAATCGTGTACATTGTATAACTTGCATAAATAAGCATGTAGATTACACCAGTAGTAATTACGATTTAAAACTGACTGATACGAGAAGGAAAAATAAAAACTAACCACAAAAATTCTTTTAAAATAGTTAATTAAATTTCGTGGATAAAACGTGTTATTTTGTAAGAAAAAAAAAGACTGAAGATTCACCAAAAATTCAAGGAGATCAATTAATCAAAAATTAAAGAAAAAAATGCAGAACTTTTAAATTTTTTTTTTCTTTCGTTTTTCAGGATTGCGACAACGATGCAGAGGTATGTTGCACATACAGGCCATCCGCACAACCAACCAAACCACCAATACAATCGACGCCATGTACAGGCGGTAATTATGATTGTGTGTCACCAAATTTATGCTCGAACGGTCAAATTACGCAAACAGGCTATGTGAAACATCAAGCTGTAAGTAAAATATTATTTACGCTTTAAAAAAATTTCTTTGAAGGTAGGAAAATTATAGTACGATTTTCAATATGTACATATACATATATGTATAACCATGTCGCATTGAAAAATACATATTTGGTTTATGTACTTGAACAGTTTTATTTTAGAAATGTCTTATGCACAACTAACTTATAAGAGTTTTTAGCATTTAATAAGATTAAAACCAAAACACTTCATGAATTCTTAAAATAACTTTACTAGACCTTCAAAGATGGTTATGCGGAAACTTACATAATATCAAAATTTGTAAAAAAAAATATTGTATAGATATTCGGACGTATGTATAAGCATAATCAGATAACATTTTTGAATTTATGTTCAATGGTTTGAGATATTATATTTATTATTTCATGGTAAGTTACTATGTATATTAGAAAACTTCTATTTTATTACACTCTCCATTTACAAGATGACACATAATGCCAAGCTAAAGCTCATAGTTTAGAAGACTGTGATAAAATTAGAGAAGGCTACAATGTTACGTTAAGCTACAATCAAGAAATTTTAAAATTGAAAAGTTAAAAATTCAAATTTTTCGAACTTGTAAGTCACGTGATTCCGAAATCTGAATAGATTATAACTAATGATATTCATGATAAAACCCTTGTTCGGTGTTTTCTAAATCATATTTTTTAATAATGCTCCTATCTGATACAGGAACGTAGTTACATGTAAAATTTTAAACAGTAAAAAAAGCATTCTAGATTGATTTTAAGCTCTCTTAATAACTCAGAACCTGATGAGCTGCAAATATTATATCCATACAAAAATTTTGTCTTGGTGGTCCAACCAATGGTATATAGCAGTACATTTTTGAGTTAAGTGAAAATTTTTTTCACCTGAAATGGCACAAAATTTTATTTGATTGGAACTTTTTTTTATTCGATTGAAAGCAAAGTTTTTTTAAATTAAACTTTTTTTTAATGATACCAATTTTTCTGAAATGAAAAAGTTTCATTTAATTCGAAAATGGTTTCATTAAATAAAAAAATTCCTTACATAAAAGAGTATAAATTCAAAAAAAAATCTTCGTTGTCTATTTTTCATTATTTCTCATACATTAATTGTATCATAGAAATAATTAATACCTGAAAAAATTCAAAACATATAAAGTTGGGTCAAAGCAATGGTTTGTATTGTAGCACTTTTACCATCAGCAAGTGAAAAAACTGCTTCTAAAAACAATCTAGGTATACCTAATACACTATTAAAATACTTTATTTATATACGAAGTTATTTCATTAAGGATTGAATATACATATTTATGATAAGCGATTTGTGCAGCTTTGAAGTGAAGCAAAAAAAATTAAAGAAGAGTTAACATAATGCCCGATTTTAATGGTTAATTGCGTAAATTAAGAAAAATAACTATATTTTTTAATGGTATGGAATTTACCGTTAGTTTTCTGCGATTATAGAAGTTTTAAAAGGCTTCCGGTTTCGGAAATCTAAGGCTAAAATTTCGGGAATTTTACAAATTTCACAGAATTCTACAAATTTCGAGAGGCGATAACTTGAGAAGGGTGGAGATGGAAAAAAATTTTCTTCTAACAAAATAAACTATTTATAAGTGTCTAACAGATGCTAAAATTTTAGGATAAGTTAATATGAAAAAAATACAATTAAAGTGAATAAACTAAAACAATTCAAAAGCAAACATATAAAAAATTAAATATTTGGAATATAAACATGAAATTCTCCTTTAAAAACTGTACAGTTATTTAAAAATTTTCTTTACGATATAAACGTTACCTTAATTATTTGGGTTTAAAATAAAACGGACTGGTTTCCAAGTTTAATGGAAAAACTGGATTCATAATATTTAAATAAGCTTAAATAAACATACAAAAAGTCATAATATGTATAGCGAAGTATATACAAAGAGAACTGCTGAAACAAAACGCATAACGATTGCACTTGAACTATTATCAAAGGGGATGTAGAACATTCTAGATTAATAGATTTGAAAATTTGGGTTCAAAACTTACGATTTTATTAAAACATTTTTCATAAAATTAGTATAATTAGTGTAATTATTAAAATTATTCCAAAAAACTTATGTAATACACAAATTGAAGCCAGATTTACGATTAAAAGAAATAACGCATTCATATTCATACGCATTTGTAGAAATAATACATTCGCAAAGAGAAAATGAAAAAAACACGACAAAAAAGGAAATGAAAAAAAAATGTTTCTCAATTTACAATACATTTTATATTATGTACATCGCAGTCGTAAAGTCGTATTGTATAAAATGTTTATACTTATATAGACTTTGCTCACAAATTGAATAAGCCTGCCACGCCTTTTCATATTATTCATTCCAAACTTAATAAACATTGAAACTTTGTACAAACTAAATAAAATCAGTAAAGAAATATAATCGCGAATGATTCAAATGCAAACATATGAAATAAAGATTTACTCAAAGATAAGAAAGGAATAATTTTTTTTACTTTTTTTATTGTTGCTTTTATTCATTAGCAACATTAAATAGCCAAAAGGGTTTTCCACAATTTTCCCCAAAAAACACCTGTGTGTGTAATATATACATTCTTGTCTTAATGTTGTTAAATATTTTCGAACATGTTTCCGATTCGCACTAGGGTTTTCTAGTATTGTTATAATGTTATTAAAAATTTTCTGTAAACTAAATAAAATCAGTAAGGAAATGCATACATAATTCGTGAGCTAATCATATAATGCATATTAAAAAAAAGTTTTACTCGAGGATGAGAACAGAATGAACTAAGTTTTTAATTTTTTTTTCACTTATGAACTTAAGTAACCAAAAATTATTCGGAAAGTTATTCGTTGAAGTTTTTGCAGGGAAAAAATCGTGTAGGTAAAGTGGGGCGTGAACTCGGAGGTTTGGATTTTGGAGGGCTAAAGACGTCGTAATGAAAAAATTCAGTTTGAAATATTCAAACTTTTATTAAAAAGCAATAGTTTTTATTCTAAAATTTCGTACCTATGTTCTAACGTTCTATTAAAAAATCTATTCTTTTTTTATTTTAAAAATTTTGACTTATTTTACAAAAATTAAAACTTGGCACTTAGATGTTCCTGATCACAAAAAGGAACATAAATTTTTTTTAACGTATCCTAAATCTGTTTAGATAGAAAAATAAAAAATTTCTAAAATGTAACATTTACTTATAAACACATATTTTATATACAGTATATGAATAGACTGAATGATACATAATATATTAAAACCGTATCTTACTTACTTATATTATTTTCAAACAATAATAAAAATGTACGTTTAACAAGTATGTAAGTAGAAATGGTACCTTATTTATCTTATGCAGCATCGTAACAGCTTGAGATTTCCATTTTAAAATAATGAACGACAATAAAAATACTAATATATATATAATACTCGTGTAATTAAAGTATATATAATATTCGTGTAATTAAAGTATTTTAATTAAATTACTTACTTCGGAATAAGTTACACTGTTTTTGTATGTTATTTCAATGATTAACCATGGACTAATTTTATTTTGAATTTATTTAACCACAACAAGTCGCATCACGACCACCACAACTAAAAGGAATAAAGAATAATTCAGAAGTAAATTTTTCGTCTGTTTTTTCAATCATTCGAAGTGTGATCTCGCTAATTACTTGCTTGACATCTCTCCTCAAAATCTGGTAAGTTTGCATAATTTATATAATGTAATTCAACAGGCAGACCAGTAAAAAGGCACAATAGAAAATCTTAATAATAAATTTGTGAGCCAATAGCTGATTCATTAGTTTTCTCGAGGCAAGCTTTTATAATCTTCACTGCAACTTCCTTTTGAAAATATAAGGTACTGTTATTAATAATTGATTTTTCAGCATCACATTCCGGTTAAATAAATAAAATAATTAATTAGACTAATTTTATGTTAATATTTAAAAAAAAATCCTTTGTTAAGTAAATCGAATTAATCAGTTTTTCAGCCGGATTTAAATTCTGATATTCAGTAAGTTCGAAATATTGTGATGAGTCATCTTAGTATATTGTTAAATGACTGTGCATGTATTTGTCATATTTCATTTTTTTATTCTTTTTACATTCATACATACCCACATTAACACATATACATTTAATTTGTATACGAAATCTATTATAAGTCTTTAGCCGTACAATAAATTTTAGCGAGTTCTTTTCACAATAATCAAATTGTGCCTTTTATTGTTTTGTTTATTTTTAACTAAACAAAAAAATCTTGTTTTCAAATCGCTTTACGTTCTAATAAACAATAAATAAGCAAAATTTATTAGAAAAAGAAAAGAACGAGTATTAAAAGTTTCTTTAAACTTCTTTATATAAAACCAGCTTTTTTAATTATTAAAGCTTTTATTCTTTTGATTTTCAATTTAAAATTATTTCATGAATTCCATTAAGATTTCTGATTAAATTCTTCCAAAAATAAACAAATGATGTTAAAATGACTGCAGATTGAAGATAATCAAGTTTTGGGTAGTACCAGTTTAATTTTAATAAATATTATTCAAAGCATAAAATTTTCTACGTATAAAATGAAATATAATATTGTGCATGTAATTAAAACAATATGGATGTTTCGTTTTACAGACAACTTGTCAACACGCTAATTTTTCCAAGATTTAGTCTTTATTTTTTAGCCTGAAAGATTATCGAGTCAAAACTAATGTAAATTATCATTGTGAATGTAAGGTATAGTGATACACAGGAGAAATTTTTTGTAATTACACAAAGAACTATGTTCTTTTTTGAGAGGCGCTAGTGAGTATTAAGTTTTTTAATTTAAAATAGCCAAAGTTTAAAGTTTTTTAATTTAAAACGTCAGTCAATTTTTTTAGTTCAAAACATATCTATGTATGTCAAAAATGACTTAGCAAACAAAGTCAGTTATGTGAGAAAAACTGTACTTTTTAAAGATTCAGATTTAGAAAAAAATGTTATAACAACACTG